TCTGCGACCAATTCAAAGGCTTACAAATTTCTCCCTCAGAAAGATTCTCTGGAAATCTGGAACTTGAGAGGCCAGGGCTTCAAATGGGTTAATGGCCCCGGTATGAGTATTATTATAACATGGGGTGCATCCCATAGTACTGTCGCATTTCAGAGAGGCAGTGGAGTCATTAAATGACTTTAGTTCTAGTGGGGTCATACAGAAGCACAAAAGAGGGCTGTGCTCCCATCTGACTCTTAAAGAAAAAGAGGAACGTGTATAATTAGCAGAAGAATTCAAAGCATTGATTAAGGATTCATTAGCTATTGGGTAGGCTTTTATATGAGTGTCATATCTAGAAGGAGTTTCTGGGTTAGGATGTCATATCCAACACTGGGCCAGATTTTCTCCTGCTGCTAAGGCATGAGAAGCATTTACTAAAAAATTTTCATCCCATTCCCCAGTACAAGGTGTAGGTGAGTAGAGAAGAGTTAATAGAAACAACAAAGAGATTTTCATTTTGTACAATCATAGATATGATTCCACCCAGAGGGAAGTAAATAAGTCTTCACGCAGAAGACCAGTACTAATAGAAAGGTCCCAAGAAAGGTAACTATCCAGAACAATAATGATTTCAGTATATTGCCATCAATCATTACTTATCTTTTAGGGATTTCTCCTTGTAACTGTAGTTCTCTAAGATCTTTCTATAATACCCTAGCAAAGAGGTGGGGACTGTCCCTGAACCCTTGCAACAATGCAGTCCAAGTGCATTGCTGATGTATCATTGTCTTTGGATCAGTCCACTCAAAAGCAAATACTGAGAGTCAGGATGCAAAGGGACCCAGAAGAAGGCATCTTTCAAATCTAACACTAAATACCACAGAGCATTGCCAGGCACCTGTGAGAGCAAGGTATAAGGGTTAGCTACTGTGGGATGTAAAGGAACTACTCCTTCATTGACTAACCTTAGATCCTGCACTAGCCTATACTCTCCGGTGGGTCTTATCTCCGGTAAGATGGCAGTGTTGCAAGGAGATTGACAAGGAACTATGAACCCATGCTGTATAAATTTAGTTGTGATAGGCTGCAACCCCTCCAAAGCCTCTCATTTAATAGGATAGTGCTTCCTGTGAGGATAACCTGACCTGGGCTTTAATTGGATTTTAACTGGTAAGGCAGTATTTGCTCTTCCTGGGATCCCTGACTCCCAAACCAGCTGGTTTACTGTATCCAGAACCGAACTTGGGATTTCCTCCTGGTTTCGGCTACTACTGCTTATCATGACCTTGCTTAACTCAGCTGGCTCTTTAGGGAACAAAATGGTTCCCATTTGGGCTAAAAGGTCCCGGCCTAACAGAGGGATAGGGCACTGAGGAACAATCAAAAAGAAGTGTTTGAATATTTGACTCAAATTGGCAATTAATAAGGAGTATGTAGAAATAGGCCTTAAGGTTTCCTTGACTCCCATTACCCTAGCTGATTTGGAGGAAAGAGGTCCAGAGTAAGGGTTAAGGACAAAGTGGCCCCAGTGTCAACAAGAAAGTTGATTTTCTTACCCGCCACATGTAGATTTACCCGGGGCTCCTCGGTAGAGATGGGAATATGAGTATTCCCTGGGGCCAACCTGTTCCCCGGGCACCCTCAGTCCTCAAGAGTAGCCATGGCCTTGGGTGATGACCCCTTTCCACTCTGGGAACGGGGGCAGTCTATCTTCGGTGCCAGGGGCCAGAACTGATATCCTGGCAGAGAGGACAGGGTCCTGGAGGTGCTCAAGTACAGTTCCTTGCCCAGTGTCCGGGGTGCTTGCGCTTATAACAGGTCTGATCCTTTCACCCCTGATTCTTTTGAGGCCTCCCCGAGCTCCCCTGATGGGGCTGGTTTCCGCCAATAGCACTACTAAAGGCTAGTGCAAGGAGCTCAGCTTGCTTCTCCCTTTCCTTCTTTCCCTGTTTTCTTTCCTCCAAATCCCTATTGTTAAATACCGAGAAGGCCATGTCCATGAACTGGTCTAGTGGGGTCTGTGGGCTCATTTGTAATTTCTGAAGCTTCCTGCAAATATCAGGGGCAGACTGACTTATAAAATGCTGTCCTATCAAGATTCAACCCTCCAGGGAGGACAGATCCAACTTTGTGTATTTCTGGAAGGCTTCCACTAGTCTGTTTCTGAAGAGAGCTGGGTTCTCCTTGCCCTGCATGTTTTCCCTAATCTTTTCATAATTTACAAGTTTCTTGATGCAGCTTCTCATTCTTGCCAGTAGGCAATCTATCATTGCGTCCCTACTCCGGATACCTGCCTGAGTATTGTATCCCCAGTCGGCACCCTGGTCTGGAACGGCTTGGGCGGCAGGCTGGTTAGTGCCAGGGTTCTGGGTATGCAGCTGGTCTGCATGTCTACGGACCTCCCCCCAGATCCACTGTTTCTCATCTGGGGAGCAGCAGGTGCTCAGAATTATGTACAAATCCCTCCAAGAGATACTAAAGGCTAAAGTAAGAGTCTGGAAATTACTAGTGAAACATGAAGAGTCCTCCGAAAAACTCCCTAGCCTATCTTTACATTGTTGAAGTCAGTTATAGAGAAGGACACTTGTACTCTTACAGCGCCCTCAGCGCCTGCTACCTCCCTCAAAGGTAAGAGTGTGGGCGTGGCAGGGAGATAAGAAGCGCCACTCCAAGTATGTCCTGCTGGGCTGAGTTTTTCCTCAGCTGGTGGCTTTAGGTTGTCCATAGCATAGCGTGGTGGAGAGATCGATCCCTCTAAGGTAGGGGCAGAGGTTCCCGAACTCTTGGGTCCCCTTAATCTCTCTTGAGAGACAGGTGGGGAACTGAGGAGGATACCTTCTAATTGATCAACACTTGGGCCCTTAGGTTCCGTCAGGGTGTGGTTGGGACAAGAGGTGAGATCTCGGTACAGAGCCATTAATGTCTGCACGTAAGGAATTTCGGACCGTTTGCCTTCCCTCTGGCAGAATAGATCTAACTGTAGTATACTACTATAATTCCTGCTCCCATTGGCAGGCCATATCTCTCCATCCCTAATTTATACTGGGGCCAAACAGTGTTACAAAAGAAAACTAATCTCTTCCTTTTTAGGTTTTTAGAGTCAAATTTATTCCATTTGCTAGGAATGCAACCCAATGGTGATTTGGAAGGGATGGAAGGCGTGGTTCCCATCTCAACGGCAGCGATCCTAAAGAGAAAGAGAAAACACAAAGATACTCCCTTGCAATCTAGAGGCGTCTCTTGCCTCAGGAGCTTTCCTAGTGGGCCACAGGGCGTCCCCCAGGATCCCACCGAACTACCAGACATCTCTGGCAAAAGAAATCCTAGTGAGTGTCGGCTGACGGAAATCTAAAAGACTTGAGAGGATCGCCACAGTCCAGTTTTGTTTCTTTTTCTATGTTTGATTCAGAGGTTTTGAGCTCCCTGGACACTGCTTGCCTACTGAGTGTCCAGGCTGCAAAGGACTATTGGGAGGGAACCACTCCAGCCTTCTTGAGCAATTGCCTATAATCCTGATGATCCCAGACCCACTGCTCTACTTAAGTAACCTGAACACGTTTCAACTCCTGTATTCTCCATCTACAGAGACCCTCATCTTACTATAAGCCTTCAGGTCTGGGGCAAAGGAGGTGTCTTACTAGCAAAATAGTTTCTGGCCCCATAAACTACCAAGAGAGGCATCAAGATGACCTTATCACAAAATTATTCTTTTTCAGATCACAAAGAGGACACTCAGGTAGTCTATCTAAGTTTCTAGAGCTTTAAGAAATTGTATCGGAGTCTGAAATTTCCCCACTCGGGATGGACCTCAAGAGGTGTCTGAAGGGCCCCCCACCTTTTGTACTGGAGGTGGATCTCCTAGAGGGATGACGGGACTGAGAGAAGAAATTAAAATACCCCTAGAGAGGTAAGTAAAACATCTTAGAATTTCAAATTCAATTAATTGGGTAAGAGTGGCTCCACATGGCCATTTTTAGTAACTAATGACCAGTAGGTGCCTGTTAAGCCACTCTGGCCAGTGTTGCTGTTTACCATAATAGTATATACATGCCAAAGATGGGAGTGGCTCATTCCTGCAACTATACTTAGCATTAGGACTATTAATGACCCCAAAGTAGATATTCTTATAATGGGATACAGCTAGAGCCCCCCCCAAAGGGTGATTTGGAACAGGGTCCAGAACTTTCAGTATTCAAGAAAAACACAGGACATTTCTCCCCCCTCACAGGGTGGGCCACCATAGGGGGATGGGAGACAAAGAGCAGGACCCTTGGGAGTCACTTTGCATATCAATAACAGGACAGTGCCTTGTCTCGTATGCAAATAAAGTTATTTTGCATATCAATAAGTCCAACCAGGAAAGGTCTGCACAATTCCAACCCAAGATGTAAGTAGGAGGAAACTCTGTGGGTTACAGGGTGCGGTCAGGAGAGCTCAGAGATGGCTTGCTCCATGGGGGGGGGGGGGTGCGGGGGGGGGGGAGAGGAAACAACGCGAAGACCGTGCAGGAAGGAAAGGAGAGGAAGGACTCCCACCAGTGGGCCATGAGAATGCACCACGTGGCTCCGAACTAAGAACTGGAGATCTCGGTGACACAGCTGATGGCACTGGGAACCGCGAGAAGCCTGCCTGGCCAAGCTCCGGACACCCGCTTTGCCTCCTCTGAAGGGCGGCACCCCAGATCGGCCCAACCGGCCTGATGGGGCATAGTGGGGGGAAGGCATGACTGTGCGTTGTTGAATGTCCCAAAGGGACTCCGAAACCCGACAGCAATGTTCACTACCCAAAACCTACACAACCCTTGAACAAATAGTTCCCTTCCCCTTTCCCAAACTCTGCCACCAAAAGCCATAACTTGTAAGGGCAGCAGGCAAAGAACCTACAAGAGAGAGACCCTGGCAAAGGGACGTTGTTTCGGTAACAGCATCTGGCCCCCTCCCCAAACGGGTCTAATATTCGGTAACATTCTGGGTACAAAGACAGCAGGAACCCTTCCTATACAAAAAGGCAAGTGGACTATGAGTGCAGGTATAAAGGCCAAAATCAACCCGGGAAGACAAGTGTAAAAGACTCTGTGGGCCTCATGAGGAGACTGCAACAGGGAGTCATAGCACAGGCAAGGTGGTGACTGATATCCTGTATGGAAGGTCAAACTGTGCCTGTGAAGGAGCAGCTGCAGGGTGGGGTGGTGTCTCATGGTTTTCACAGCCCATGTGCAGACATTTTCTTGCACCTGGCGGGAACTAAGGCTAACCCCGTTCCGCACCCAGGTTATCCTTTCACGGGTGTCTTCAAGCAGGGGGCACCCTTGTGGCTTTTGACTGCCAGACCCGTGCCCGCAATTTAGTGGCTGACCTTCCATCAGGGAACATGGAGTCACCAAAACAGAATAAATGGCAATGGAAAGGGGCAGCCCTGTGAGGCAGGAGATAGGAAGGAGGAAACTCCAGAGGTGCCCCAGGGCTAAGATAAAGAATATGAATAAAGGGCGGAGACCCTGTTGTAAGACTGGTAGTTTCTGCTTCAGGAAAAGCACTGAATCCTAGTGAATCAGGAATGCACCTGTGCAGAAGATGCTACCTGACCCTGCTTCATTATAATAACATTATAATAAATTAGTATTGTGGGACCCCCCCCTTCCCAGTAGCCAATCAAGGAAATCATGGAAGACCACATGAGCAGTAACTTTAAAATAATATAACTACTTGTACATGCACAATAAAAGCCCGCCAAAACTAGCCAGGAGAGACCCACCCTAAAAGAATAAAAGCGCTCTCACCTCTGAGGTCAGGGCTGTTAGGCTCTGTTCACCTCTGCTCATATCTGCTCTGCTCTGCTCAGGGTTGGCCAGTTCCCATGTTCTGTGTAGCTAAATAAATTTGCTTTCTCTGGCTTTCTGTTATAAACTCTGTGTGTTCGGTTCAATTTTTTGTCTGCAATCAGCAAGAACCTGGTTAGCTGTGCCCACCTGTGACAGTTTTTGGCGAGCCAGCCAGGGGTTGACGCCGGAGTGGTAAGCACCCTTTGCTGCCCTGGTACCTAGGTATCACAGGTGGGCACAGGTAACCAGGTTCTTGGTGACTGCGGACAAAAAATTGAGACAAACACACAATTTATAGCAGAAAGTGAGAAAAAGCCTATTTATTAAGCCACACGGAACATGGGAGCCAGCCGATGCTGAGCTGAGCAGAGAGGAGCAGAGTCTAGCAGCAGCAGCAGTAGCCCTGAACTCAGGGGCTTTTATTCCTTAGGGTGGGTTTTCCCATGATTTCCTTGATCGGCTACTGGGAAAGGGGTCCCACAACGCTAATTTATTATAATATTATTATAATGAAGCAGGGTCAGGTAGCATCTTCTGCGCAGTGCATTCCTGATTCACTAGGATTCAGTGCTTTTCCAGAAAGCAGGAACTACCAGTCTTAGAACAGGGTCTCCGCCCTTTATTGATGTTTTTTATCTTAGCCTTGAGGCACTTCTGGAGTTTCCTCCTTCCTGACTATCTCCTGCCTCAAGTATGTGGGGCGGTGCTCCAACCAACTGAACCACACCAGCCAGGGCTGAAAGTCATTTTAAAAGAAAGAATTAACACGGGCCAGCGAGCTGTGCTGAAGTTTGCTGCTGCCACCGGAGCCACTCCCATTGCCGGCCGCTTCACTCCTGGCACCTTCACTAACCAGATCCAGGCGGCCTTCCGGGAGCCGAGACTTCTGGTGGTTACTGACCCCAGGGCTGACCACCAGCCTCTCACCGAAGCGTCCTATGTTAACCTGCCTACCATTGCTCTGTGTAACACAGACTCTCCTCTGCGCTATGTGGACATTGCCATCCCTTGCAACAACAAGGGGGCTCACTCAGTGGGTCTGATGTGGTGGATGCTGGCCCGGGAAGTTCTGTGCATGCGCGGCACCATCTCCCGTGAACACCCATGGGAGGTCATGCCTGATCTCTACTTCTACAGAGGCCCTGAAGAGATTGAGAAGGAGGAGCAGGCAGCTGCTGAAAAGGTTGTGACCAAGGAGGAATTTCAGGGCGAATGGACGGCTCCGGCTCCTGAGTTCACTGCGGCGCAGCCTGAGGTCGCTGACTGGTCTGAAGGCGTGCAGGTGCCCTCTGTGCCTATTCAGCAGTTTCCTACTGAAGACTGGAGCGCTCAGCCTGCCACTGAAGACTGGTCTGCAGCCCCCACTGCGCAGGCCACTGAATGGGTAGGAACAACCACTGAGTGGTCTTAAGCTGGTCTTCCACAGACTCTTCTAACAGAATGGAAATAAGGCTGGTGGAAAATAAACAGTTTCTAAAAAAATAAAAAATAAAAGAAAGAATTTATTAGGCCATTGCTACCAAAAAAAAAAAAGAAGGGCAGTCTTGGGGCATGGAGTCTAAAACAATTTCGTTCATGAAGTAAGGGGGAGAAAGATGTAAGCCACTCTGAAAGAGTTTACATTAGCTATAGACAAAGAGGGCAGGGGAAGCTGAAGCAGGGCTGGCTCTGGGGCAGGCTCCGCAGCGGCCCAGTCAGTAACTCTCATGTGTAAATAAGAAGTGGAGGCTCCTGGGATTCACCAGCAGCTGACTATTACCTCTCTTTAGATAATCTCAGAAATAAGCACCTAGAAATTAATTTAAAAATTCCAACATACACTAAGGAATATGAGCAGTCTTTTGTTTAGTTTACACTACAGAAATATTGATTTGTTGTTTCACTTGTTTAATCATTCATTGGTTGATTCCTCTTTGTGCCTTGATGGAGGATCAAACCTGCAACATTGAAATATCCGGAAGACACTCGAACTAACTGAGCAGGGCTCCTTGTCATTATGCATTGACTACATCTTCTTTATTCATTCATCCATGGATGGATACTTAAGGTGTTTCCATATCTTGGCTCATCTAAATAATGCTGCAATGAACATAGGGGTGTGTATATATTTTTTGGAATTAATGTGAAAAGGTGAGTACAATACAGTAAGTGTGAGAGAGAGATGACATTCACATAATTTTTATTACAGAATATTGTTATAGTTCTATTTTATTATTTGTTATTGTTAATCTCCTACTGTGCCTAATTTATAGGAAAAAAAATGGTATACAGGAGGGTGCAAAAGTAGGTTAAATTATTAGCTATCATTACCTAAAAGATAAGTCATAAGTAAGGATACAAAGTAATAGCAATAAGAAGAAGAAGAAGGAGCACTGGCCAAGTAGCTCAGTTGGTTACAACATCCTCCCAATATGCTAAGTTTGTGGGTTCGATGCCCGATCAGGGCACATACAAGAATCAACCAATGAATGCATGAATAAATGGAACAACAAATCAATGTTTCTTTTTCTTTCTCTCTCTCCCTCTCTCCCTTCCTCTCTCTAAGAATCAATAAATTAAAAAACATTTTTAATAATAAGATAAATAATATAAAGAAATAATACAATAATTAATAAACAAATAATAATACAAGAATAAACTCTGTCTCATGTACTCACAACTATAAACCTACTCTCTCCCACGCCCGTAATATAGGGCTCAGTACTGCCTGTGATTTCAGGCATCCATAGGTGGCTCTTGGAACAAATGCCATATCCCCAGGGGTAAGTGGGGGACTGCTGTACATGGGAGAGACCCAGGAAAACTGAGTAGCTCTTCAAAATGGCCAAAGCCATTGCCTTAAATGCCATCTTCAGCTAAAGACAAAAGATGTTGGGGATGGAGAGTCAATAATGGGAGGGTTAGCAGGAAAGGCACAGGAAACAAGTGTAGGTTGTTGAGCAGTTTTAAGTCCTGGCCTTCTCCATTGATAAGAGTTTCTAGAGACTAAATCATTATTTGAGGTACAGAGAGGGAGACCCCCTTACAGGTGGAGATTTCCCTTATATAACGTATGTAAATGTCTTCTGCAAAGAGACTTCCTCAGTTTGCAGAGCTTCTCCCAGATCTGCTGTTTCTTTAAAATAACCAACTTAACAGTGATCCTTATGCAAAAGAGACACATTTGGGGGTGGCAAATTCTGCTCCCCTTTAGTATCTTTGTGGGAATCCAGGAGGCCAGGAGCATACTGGAGAAGTTCCAGCACTCTTTTAAAGCAAAAAAATCCAAGAATAAATGCATTAAAAAGATACAAACAGTTTTACTGTCCCCTCCACACCCCCATGCCTCCCCCCCCCCACGCCTCCCCCACTCACCCCTTCCACCCCTGTGTGTGATTTTTCCAGAGGAAGGGATTGGGTGTCTGGCTTCCTCAGCTGTGCAGGACTTGGCCAAGAGACCCAGTGCTTTCTCACCCCACCCAGAACACTTAAGTGATTAGCGGTGATGAGAGGTGGAGAGAAACTGGGAGCACAGCAATCAGGACTCAGAAGTCATCACTTGCTTCAAGGACCTCGTCAGGAAGCCGGCCTCGAGCCCCTTGGGTTGTGAAAACATGCTGGACATCGCTGATCATCAGTACAATGTAAATCAAAACTACGATGAAACACATTTATGCCTGTTAGGATGGTTGTTATCAAAAAGTTCAAAGACAATGGGTGCTGACACTGCTGGCAGGGAATGTAAATTGTTGCAGCCACAAGGGAAAACAGTGTGGAGGTTCCACAACAAATGAAAAATAAAACTGTTACCGGACGGGGGCGTGGCCGTGAGCGGGTCTGCGCAGGGCCGGCGCAGTGTGTGGGTTCTTTGTGTAGGAAAGGTTTTGCTACATGAGTCCAGGTGACTATGAGGGTATGCTTCTTAAAGCTGGGGACAATGAAACAAGAAAGGGCCTAGCATAAAAGGAGCAGCAGGAGAGCCTAGGCTGGGCTGCATTAGCTCACTGGGAAGTCAGAGGAGAGGGGACCTCGGGGACAGGGGCGGGGGTCAGCCTGAGACCAGTTGCCTCTGCCTATTGCTCCCCTGAATGCAAGTCTCCTGGGATCCTTAAGTTTAGGAGATGCACACCTGTTGGGGAAGAGGAGGGGGCTGCTCCCCAGAGGGAGAGCACTCCTGCACCTGGGTCCTTTGTCTTCAGGCTTTTTTTCAAAGATTTTATTTATTTATTTTTAGAGAAAGGAAGAGAAAGAAACATCAATGTGTGGTTGCCTCTCGAGTGCCCCCTACTGGGGACCTGGCCCGCAACCCCGCATGTGCCCTGACTGGGAATCGAACCGGCAACCCTTTCGCAGACCAGCGCTCAATCTACCGAGCCACACCAGCCTGGGCTGTCTTGAGGCTTTTCTCTCTCTCTTGCAGGTGGGAACCTTAGGGGAGGTCTCAGGGGAGGCTTTCAGCAGAATATCCATCAGTTTTCCACCTGTGCTCTTCCAGCGTGGTGGTCTCCACTGATTGGTCACTGACAGGGTAGGGTGCCTTTAGTCACTGCATTTGGTCCTGGCGTCACCCACCTGGTTTTGCTGCTTTTCTGGTCCTGGAGCTAAAATACAACTGAGGCCTGGATGTTACCTCGAGGGAGGTGACCTTCTATCTCTGGCTGTAAGTTGCTCAGCCAGCTTGTTCAGCTCTCTGTCTCAGTTTCCCTGTTCCACTTGCCAAGCAACTTTCCTAGCTTTATTCCTTCCTGTCTCAAAACTACCATATGATCCAGCAGTTCCACTTCTGGGTATATATCCAAAGGAAATAAAATCACTCTCTGGAAGAGACATCTGCAACATTATTAATAATAGCCAAGATACAGAAACTGTGGTAGGCAGTTAGACTGGAGCAGAACAAGGACAATAGGCCAGATTCAGAAGGTCACAAGGGCAGAAAGCCCTCTAGCAATGAGCAAAAATAGGAAAACAAGTACCTTGCCCTAAGGGTGACCTCCCCCACCCCCCCACCCTCCCAAGCCTATCACTCATTATCCCTTTAGAGTCCCTGACCTTTCATATCGCTGGTCAGGTGGTTGGGACCCTCCCTCGGCATGTCAAGCAAAAGACCCCCTTGGAGGAGGAACAAAGGGCCAAAGGGTGGCCTCAGGCCACTTCCATGCAGGCACTGGCAGGACGACTCTCTTAAGCATTAACTCCTGAGGTAACACCGAGGCCTCAGATGTGTTTCAGCTCCAGGCCCAGAAAAACAGCAAAACCAGACAAGAGACCTCAGGGCCGACCTGAGGGCCAGGTGCAGTGAGTAATGACTCCCTGCCCTGGTGTCCACCAATCGGTGGAGACCACCACCCTGAAAGAACAGACCGGAAAAGCTGATATACTGAGGTCTTCCCCTGGGGCTTCCGCTGAAATCCCCACCCTTAAAAGCCCTTAGGACAGAGGACCCAGCACACTCCTCCTCCTGGGAGTGAGCCTGCTCTTTTCTCCTCCCCGTTATTTCCCCCAGATGCTTGACCTCTGCCCTTCTATCTCCCAAGCTCCAAGGGCCTTTCTTTTGCCTCTGTAATTTGTTTTCTGTGTCAACGTAAGAAACATTTGAACTTGTAGAGAATTTTTGGTGAGTTTATTTGAGCCAAATTGACAGTTTCTAGGAAGCAATATCTTGACAGATTGAGAAATGCTCTGGAGAAAGGCCGCTCAGCGCCTAATTTAATACACTATAATCAAAGGAGGAGCCAAAAGGGCGTCCCATGAAGTCCATTGTGATAGGTTAGAGGGGCATGAGAAGGCAAGGTGGGGACACCTCTGGGATTGGATAAAAGGTAAAATGCTAGACACAGATCTCTTTTACATAGGTGGGTCAGGGATAGTTAAGTCAACATTTCACATGATAACAATCATAATGTGGGCATTTGTGGTCTCAGTTTACACCCAAGGGGTTGGGGGGAAAAGGGAAGTTACTTTGACATTCCAAAGGTATGTTATCATAGATGCAAAAAGACAATAGGCTTAGTTAAGGTAAAGACTGACCTTTGTTACGGAAAATACTGGCCTAGGACATGACTGCGCACCAAGAACTGCTCTTAGTTACTAAGTTTTAATTTTAGACCACCTTTTGTGGTTGGTCTCTGAGCTTGTAAGACTGCCTCTCAGGCCTCCCCTGAGCTTGTCAGGTTAATATGTGACCCCTTTTCTTCCACACCTGAAACCATTTCTTCTACAGGTCACTTATTCTATTTCTGTGACTTTCTTTCTTTCTTTTCTTTTTTTAAGATTTTATTTATTTTTAGAGAGAGGGGAGGGGAGGGAGAAAGAGAGGGAGAGAAACATCAATCTGTGGTTGCCTCTCACAGGCCCCGCACTGGGGACCTGGCCCGCAACCCAGGCATGTGCCCTACACTGGGAATCAACTGGCGACCCCTTGCTTCACAGTCTGGTGCTCAATCCACTGAGCCACACTAGCCAGGGCTATTTCTGTGACTTTCTAAATGAATTTTCTTTTATAGTTTGAGTCTT